AATGCAACGAAGAGGCGCCGGCAAGTGATTTGTATCGCATGGGTGGTGAACCGGCGCAACTGAAAAGTGGTATTTTTTATGTGAAGACGAGCACGAATTCGCCTTTTGCGTTGGGTTCCAATTGGAAAGACGGAGAATGACCGGACCGGGTGACAAGTGGGAGAAATAGTGGTAATCTTGATATGTGAGATCAGTAGTCACAGCATTATAAACTGTGATATTTTAAGTAGTTTAATTTATTTTATATTGCATTTTGCCAAAAACAACGAATTCATCAAATCGTGCATGTAGTCATTTATAAAAGTAGTACTTAGTACTTTAAGAACAAATCGAATTATTTTTGTAAAATAAAATGTTTATTTTGTGAAAAAGAAGTCTTATGCTTGTTTGGTGGTGTAACCGCCGAGCTTTATTTGATTTCAAAAGGCTCGAGGAAGTCCTTCCTAGCTCCTTCCTTCGTGGTTACATTTGCTTTACATGAGCTTTGATTGAGGTTATATTTATATGTGAACATACTTTTATGTCATTCTGTTAAACTACTATAAATAAAAATAAAAACAACTCACAAACAAATACGTAGTAATTATATTGCTTAAAATTGATTCAAACAGTAGATGTATGTATGTATCCTAACATAGTGGTTTTAATTGCTCTTAGATCTCTGATTGGTTAAATTTAGCACCGCTTTCAACCAATCCCCAGTTATCACCGATCTTAAATGCAGCCTAGAAGTAGACAATGTATCATAACTTAGTTTTGCTACCCATTTTCCATCACAGGGTGCACAATCAGAGCAAATATATTGATGCATGTCAATGTTTTTTTTTTAATTCGTTAAATTTTCGTAATTCCTTTTAGGGTTTAAAAGCCAACTATGGCATAGAAAAACGCTCGTTTACGGATGCCAGGTTGGGCTGGCAAGTCGGGCGACCCATTAATTCCACGTTTCAGTGCTAAAAACGATATTTTTGTTGCAGTAAAGGAACATAATTTTTCGTTGGTTGAGTTTCCTCTATTAACTTAAGACTTACAGCACACAAATTGGTTGTGTACCATTTTGATACAGGAGCATTCTTTGAAAAAAGATAGATTTTCAGGCAATTACTTTTCCGGACGAATTTATTAGCGGAAATTTTTTTTAAGTTGGCTGCTCTAGCAGCTACATATACATATATGTTACCAGACAGTTAGCTATAAAGGTGATGTTCGGGCGAAATTAGAAGCCATCTCATTGGTGCATTTTTACAGGTCTGCAGCTTCATTCACAGCATAAACAAACTGGCACAGCATAATTTAGAACTGGCCGCGAATTTCCTTGCTTGCTGCCAATAACGTTTCCATGTATTTGCCCACAAGTTCTGCCGGTTAGCGAATTGAGGATCTTATTGAGGCTCTACGCTTTATTAGAAATTGTGAGAAAGATCAGGGACGTAGACTTTTACTTTCAAGCACAAGCTGAGATCAGTGAAAGCAGTAAAGCCTTATATGTATCGCTGGCCCTCTGCAATAACGACACAATTCAAAATTCAAAACATAAAAACTCTTGCTACTGTTAAGTGGCTTAAGTCTCTAATCCTTGTCTAAGCCATGTCTAATCCTTACTACCTACTGTAGTACCAATGTTAGTAGTAAGGATTGTACATGGATTAGGCAAGGATTAGAAACATGAGTCACTTTACAATATTAAGGGATTTACTTTTTAAATTTTTTTCGTTATTGCAGAGGACCATCGATATGTAAATTATTTAGGTTAAAAGGAAACAAATCTCTGACAACCCAGTTTAAATATTTCAGTACTCAAATTGGCATCATCGAGATCCATGCGGAAGCAAACATTTGTAAATATGTATGTAAGTGGGTATGTTCTAAGCCATATGTAAATTCACGCCTAGCCCTGCAGAAAAAAATTATGAATTGATAAAAAATAACCCACTTGCAGTTAGCTTTTTTTGCGGGTTTTCTATAAAATATATAACTTGTAGTTAACTAAATACAAAAAGCTAACTTGAAACTAGTTGACAAGTAATGCAGGAGTAATGAAGGAGGTGGATTTCTTTAAACGCATTTCTCTTAAAATATCCTGCACTTCGCAAATACTTTTTTCTAAATGAGGACATATAAAAGGGAGTTCGAAATTTCTTATTATCATTTTGAAGTTATGTCTGACGGAGTTCGAATATGGGACCACCTACATCAGAATATGAAATCTGATGAAATCAATAAAATAAAAAAATTAAAAAAAAAAACAAAAAAAATATTAAAAAAGATATTTTGTTTTTCCTATTGATATTTTATGCCCAAAAGTAGTTCGTTACAAGTTAGTTACATCAAATGCAGAGGTAACCACCCTTAACTTCATCTAATGCAGAAGTAACCACCCTTGACAATTTCGCGGCCATCGCCATAGAAATATAGTTAGCTTTCGTCAAAGAAAATATACAGATAATAAGTGACTTATAGCTCCTTCCTAATCAACTTAAAGTTAGCTTATAGTTAGATACATTTCCTGCAGGGTACATACATACATATGTAAATTCGCACTTAAGATTCTGTTAACTGTTCATGCAAAGCGATATTAACAGGGAATTAGCAACAGATTATTTATGATGCTAAGCTTTGCGAAAAGCCGGGTATTTACAAACACACACTTAATGGCTTGACACCTACATACATATGTATGTATGTATGTATGTACGAAAGTGCTCAAATCTTGAGTCACAGCATATGTATGTGCGCATAAGTACATATAAGTAAAAAAGGTTTTACATCAAAGTTGAGCTTTTTTCAGCAGTCATTACCCACCATGCAAAACATGAAAAATAGGCAACAATCGTCAATGGCAACAAATTGGCGACTCACCGATTTATTGCTGTGGTGACAAATCGGCAACACCACTTCGTTCATGTCAATTTTGAATAAAAAAAGTTCTCAAAAATTCGGAAACTTATGAATATGGCGTCAATAGCATTGGCCAAAAGCATTTAAATTATGTCCAAGGACAAGATTGAAAAAATAGGAAGTCTCACAGCGAGAAAATTAATTAATTCCGATTGTAAGTTGCAATCTGGTATACAAAAAAATAAATGAAGTATTAAGAAGAATAAAATTATTCCAAATATCGCCTAAAGCGATAAGAAAAGGACTCATTCAGGTAATAAGAAAACGACTCACCCAGGCGAGTTGCCTTCGGCGGACGTTTTAGAGCGACCGGTAATAGGAAATCGATTCGATGGCAATATTACCGGCAATAAATTTGTTTCCGAGGGCGACACGTTTTCTTATTGCCGGCAACACAAATTGTTTGGTGGGTATGTACATATGTATTTACATACATATTTAAGAAGGCAATAATTTTCAACGCTTTTGAATGGCAGCAAGGGATGTCGGTTTATTGAGGGAGAACCCAGTCCATTGTCCATTAGACAAATGTGAGTAGTTTGCTGAATTAATGAGATTTAACAGAAATAAGGCCGCTAGGGTCGATGTAATACCGACTGAGCTTTTCAAAACTGGTTGCGAAGATCTTCGATAAGCTCGAGCTTATGTCTAGTATACAAGTTTGTTAGCTTAACTTGATTTGAGCAATACATGCCTAAAATTTTAAATCGTAGAGTTCTTTGCCAAATCCACAAGAACGGAGATTCTACTGTTTGCCCCAGTTACAGAGGAGTAGCACATAAGATACTATCAACGATACTGTGTTGAGGCTGAAGCCTTGCATCAGTGTGTTGGCCAGCTTTCTACAGTGCAGCAACAAATCGATAAGCACCCTTTTTCTGTCAACTTCAAAGCCGCTTGTGACAACACGAAAAGCTTCGAGAGAACTTTTCTCATGATCACAATATCAATTGATAAAGGAAAATAGCGGAGCTTCACACACACACATTGCCATATGGGTGTCAAATATTGTAGCATATAATTTACCTTATCAATTGATTTCAATCAACTTTTTAAGCAGGTGGTAACCCCCTCCAAAAAATGTTTTGGAAACTAAACCTTAATTTAATATCAAAATTGCAATATTTCATTTATTCTATCGATTTAATTAATGAAAAAAAATCCAAAGCGCTGGCTTTTTAAAATTTATCCCATACGGAGTTCACAGCAAGCAATTTAATCGAGTTTTTGCCTGTCGAAAAAGCAAGAACTTATATACCATTCGCCATAGTTTATCACGATAAAAAAAAAAGTATTTCTTCGAAAATTCTCCACAAATAAACGGTTTTGTATAAATGTTAGAATCTTTGGATAGCGCATTAGTTAAGTTATCAGCACCACTCCCATTTGGTACACTATTCAAGCTTGAGCGCGCATATTTTATGATGTTCACTTCAATTGAAAATTTCTCATTTTCCGCTTCAATGAATCAGCGCATTTATAACTACGAGACTTATCGCCTCGAAAGCACACCCATCACTTTGATGGAGGCTCACACACATACATACTTATGTATGTACATTCATTGGGCGCTTCAAGAAATCAATGAACCTTAATCTTTATTTGCATACATTTTATTTGTTTTCTGGAAGTACACAAACATTATTCATATGTACATTTCTTATCATAGTATTCATATGTACATAGCACAAGTTCTTTAATTCAGCCATAATTTTCCAGTGGGTGTGTCAACAAAAAAAAAAAAGCATCCATCAATGCGAGTACTCTATATGAAAACGCTTCATTACTCCAGTTCATAAATGCTATTGTTGCAAATAGTTTGCTCGCATCGCACAAAACGTCTTCGGATTTAATTGAGTGAGCAGTGATGAGCGAGTGACTTCTTTCAGTAGATGTATTGTCGAATTGTCATCTGGAATAAATTCATTGTGTTTAATTAAGCTTTCGTGTCAAAGGTAATAAGCATATTTATTGAATAGGGTGGTTCAAAAATGCATGTGAAAAGTAAAGTCGGAATTTTTATGCTTTCACGCCCTAGGATTCTAAAAAAAAAAATTACCGCAATTTTTTGATTTTAAAAACAAAAAATATTTAGAGGTCGCTCAAAATTTTCCATGTATTTGATATGGAAAAAAACACTTTTCATAGAAATGGTGTAGAATTCTTGAAAATTTATAATTTTCGTACGTCCGCCAAAACCCCCAGAAAATCCCAGAGAATGCAATGAGGTATATTCTACGAAAACCTCTTATTCCCGTATAAAATGTATGGAAAGCTTTGAGCGCTTTGGGCGACGTTTAAATGTTTTTTGATTTCAAAATAAAGGCATATTTTTGTTCGATATAGAACAATCCTAGGGGTGAGAGCATTAAGATTCCGAATTTACTTATTTTGTACCACCCTTATGTACAATCATCTGTGGGTATATTTATACACACAGAAACAATTTTGTATGCTTTTTGTTACCTTTTTAATGCGCGGAATATAAAGCAAAAACACTGAACTGAAAAAATCGCATATATGTACATATGTATATACTTGCATACAAGTGAATGTAACTTTTAAATGCACACCAAGGAATGTTTGACTAAATGAAATATATTAAAATTCATTAAGTGTTAAATAATTGAAAGAACTATGTGGATTGAAAAATGCAAAAATTCTTAAAGCTTTCAATAAGTGCAATTTTTTCTATATTAACGATATATATGTACATACATATGCACTAGAGTCAAATTGGGAAAATCTTACGATTGCGAGGATATTTAACAATGCTTTGAGTAAAAAGCCAACGACTCTGAAAATGGCTCCAGTTTTTGGAGTGACATGGATATTGAAACGAGAAGTAGACAGTGGAGCGATCGTACAAGAAAATTAGCGATTTATGAACTATATACCCTGAGAAGAAGACCTTACACAAAATTAGGAAGCAAAAAAGCCAAGAATTGCAAATATTTTAAAGTCCTCGATATTCCGTTTTCATGATTTGAGAATATGTGATGTGTGTTGGGCATGCGCTTTGGTCACTTTGGTCGTTGTATGTCACGCTTCTTAAAACCTCACCGGAATCCTTATGAGACACTGAGCATCCTATGAGAGAACTCCTAGCCAGTGCTACCCGTCTAACCGTACTTAACCTACAAAAATCCTCGATCAACTCGTAGCCTTTGAGTTTTTCAGAAACATAAGCGCTATGATTTCACTCAAAACAATCAAATATAATGCCTGTTATCGGCCTTTTCCAAAATTTTTTAAAATTTTAAATTTTATAAAAACCAAAGCAAATATTTAAATATAATTTTGGACCTGGCAGTCCTTGAAAAATCCGCAAAGCTCCGATATGGTCCGAAGAAAAAATACAGTAAAATCTCAAAACTACTTTGAAAGATCCGGAAAAAGCTACGACCTGTTCCGAATACTTCCGAAAAATAACGAAAAAGTACAGTGTACAGAAAGTTTCCGAAAAACTCCGATAAGTTCCTCAAAAATTCCGAAAAGTAAATCGAAAGAATTTATGAAATGTGAGTTTTTTGACTTTCACTCCTGGATTAATGTTTTTTTAGGCATTCCTAAAGAGGGCACTTAAAATTTCCAAGCAATTTTTTTACCTGAAAATTTTAGAGCTTTCCCCAAAAATATCTATTGACAATACACAATACCGAAATATTACGAAAATTACAATGCAACAAATTCCGAAAAGTTCCAAAAAAATCTGAAAAAATATACACACAGAAATTAAGTTATGGTCTTAAAAAAATTTTATTTTTAACTGTTTACCTTAAAAGTGGCGTTTTAAACGTAGTCTTGGACTCAAACTTTATATGTGGACAAGAAAAGTATCAAAGACATCCCGGGAAGTCTCAAAAGTTTCCAAATAAAGCAAAAAATTTCTAAAAGTCCCAAAAGAATCCCAAAGATAGCTCAAAATATTCCTAAAAATTTCAAAAAAAAAATGCAAAAAAAATAAAACCCGAAAAACAAAGGAAAAATTGTAAAAATATTCCGGCATGTAAAACAAGAACAAATTCATTCTTGCTTTATAAAATTTGGAGTTCTTTTATTTCATCTCCGGTTTAAGCGTTGTATTATTTGGGGTATGAAAGGCAAAATAAAATTTACAATTTTTTAATTGAGATTTTCCGAAAGAATTTTCAAAATTCCTGAAATAATACGGAAAATTAACCTTCCAAAAAATGTCCATAAAATCTTGAAAGGTCGCGAAACACTCTAAAAACGTTCCGAAATATTTTGAAAAATAAAGCATTAAGTATCCCAAAAAAATCCATAAGAATTCCGAAAAAATCCTTAAGTGGAAAACAGCAACAAATTCAGCTTTTCATTTCTGTTGTGAAAGGTAAAGCTAAAATTTAAATGCACTGAAAGTCCCAAAGAATTTCGAAACATACCGAAAGAATCCAAGAAGTCCGAAAAAAATTTGTAAAAGTATTAAAGATATCCCATAAAATTATTAAAGATACCGAAAAATCCCGAATGGTACCGAAAAATTTCGAAAATTTTCAATGTCTGGAAAGCAAAACCCAAATGATTTTTCTGCGCAAAACTGTGTGGTTTTAATTTTGGCCTTAAGAAATATTATCGTTATTTCTTCTTAAAAATATGAAAAATAGTCAAGTTATTTTTTAAAACTTCGTGAGAAAAGATTCGATTGGAATTTTCGCAAAATCGGTACGGTAATTTTTATTGCTATTGTCTTCTTGATCTCAAAATAAAAACAAAATCCATTTCCCTATTGCATCCTTCAGTTACTCCACTATAAATACTGAACTTCGTTAATTTATCGCAGGAGTGAACAAAATATGATTCACACTAAATTGTTAAGTAATTTATTTGAACAACAGGTTCAACATTTGCTATTAATGAATGAGTGAGGATCATTGCTTATCTTTTTTATCTAGACAAATAAATAGTAAAAAATAATGCGTAGCATATCGTAAAAATTAGTGATTAATAAAACTAACATTTGTAAAGTTAAGGCTATCAATAAATGAGCCGGCAGAACAAAGCGTTGAAGGCAGCTTACAATCCCACATACAAACATTTTATTTACTATTTGTTTACATTGTTTTTTTTTTTAATATGTATGTATGTATGTATGTGCATAGGAATATTTTTATATTTACACACAAATACAACTATGTGTGTACTAATTTTTCCAATTCTTTAAGACCTTTATTTAATATATCATTACAACCGCTGTGGCCGCGCGAAAAGCTGCCGCATAGGCATACAATTTTATCAAAATTTTGTAGTATTTATGATAATAAGTGCTACATATTATTACTCACATCAAAACGTATCAAAGACCTCCTGCCTGACACGTACGCATTAAAAATAAATAACAACAAAATCATAACTACTCGCAAGCAAGGCACTTTTTATCAGTTGCTATTTTTTATTTTGTAAAATTTCTGTAATCATTTATTAAGCGCAAAATTTCATTTACATTTACCATTCTTCAATCAGACTTGTGCAAGACGGTACAATGTACTTCGGCGAGTTCGAAAAGGATTGCCTTGAGGCACACAATCAGTATCGCGCCCGCCACCACAGTCCACCATTGATACTGGATATTGGACTCTGCAAATATGCACATGAATGGGCACAGGTCAGTGTATAAACTTGGAAATTTATTTAAATTTTTTTTTTTAACGAGATATTTACTAAAATCCTTTTTTTTTTGATATGTGCACAGCATTTGGCCAGCAGAAATACGCTGCAGCATCGCTCGAATAATAATTACGGCGAAAATATATTTATGTCAATGGGTCGCACAAATATCAGCGGTAGAGATGCTGTGAGAAGTTGGTACGATGAGGTGCAAGATTATAATTTTCAAGGCGGTGGTTTCAGTCAAGGCACAGGACACTTTACACAAGTCGTTTGGCGAGACAGCAAACGTTTGGGTGTTGGCATGGCAAAAAGGTTTGTAGCAGTACCTATTTTTTATTTTTTTTTTGAAAGAATGAATTTTCATTACCACTATTTATTACAGGGGCAATAGTATTTACGTGGTTGCCAACTATGATCCACCGGGCAACTTTAGGGGCGAATATGCAAAGAACGTTTTACCGGCCGTTTGTTAGAAATGAGAGATCTTCTTCTATAATTGTACTTTTAAGTAAAAATTAATATATTTACTAAGTAGGCAGTTTCACAAAATCCATATTAGGTTATATATTATTTTAGATAGAAGTCAGATAATAAAACTGTAGAAAAGAATGGACATTGAAAATTTCTTTAAAAGAATGACCGAAGGTTACGCTGTCTTTTTGAACTCACTTATCTATAACTATATACATATAATGAAATTGTAACAGGCCTGTACACCGTGCGACAAAAACAAAAAAAAAAAACACACATGACGCAATCAATATACTCACGAAACTGTGGGCCAAATGTAGTAAAAAATCGCTTTTAGTTTTTGTCTCGTACGTCAGGATTATTTTAAAGGACTGTGTAGTTTCAAAGATATGATTTATTTCAAAAATTTAAAAAAAAATTAATTTCAATGTAGAAAAACAGTATGGGTACTAAATGAAAAAGAAAATTTTTTAGAATAAAAAAAAATTAAAATTTGTTGGTTCACAAGGACGAATAGGTATTGAAAATGTCCTTTTAATTAGTTTTATTTTTTTAAGCGAATATAGTTAGTAGAACGAAATTTGAGGATGTGGTCTAGTGCATATTAGTCCTTAACATATAATTTTTTTTGAAAATAATTATTGTAAAATTTCAAGGATATTCAATGATAAAATGTTAAAAGAACATTTTCAAAACCTAATCATCCTTATGCACCGAACAAATTTAATCGGCCTTAATTCTACAGAATTCTCCCTTTCATTTGGTACCCTTACTTTTTTTCGAAAATGCACTGAATTTTTTTTAATAATTTTTCTAAGTAGTTATATTTTTCAAATTTCAAGGTCCTTTAAAAAAATCATGACGTCAGAGAGAAAAGCTAAAAACGCAGTTTTACTATATTTGTCCCATTGTTTCGAGAATTGTTTGTGTGTAAAATGTACCGTCGTTCGGTTTAGTATTTGAATTTAAGAGGAACATATTTGTGGTGTAATGGTAAGCAGCGCGCGCTACATTCCGCAGGGCCTGAGTTCAAGCCCAGTTCAAACCAACATCAAAAAATAAAAACAAAAAATTTTGTTTTTTCTAATAGGGGCCGCACCTCGGCTGGCAAGGGGAAAACTCCGAAGGAATTTCTGCCACGAAAAAATTTCTAAAAATTCAACGGTAATATTAAACCACTAAAATTAAAAGGGCTCAAAAGGTTTCTACCAATTCTGCGAAAAAAGTTGAAATTTTGATGAAAATTTATTGAATTTTTTGTAGTCTTTTAAAAAGTTTTTAACTTTGCTTTATATGAGTTTCGTTAGAGAATAAACTGTATTTAAATAAAAAAAAATCCTAAAAATAAATAAAGAAACATGAGTGGCAAACAATATCACTTTGAAATGGCGGTGCTATTGTATTGGCTAAAACTGTACGTATATGTAAGCTCCAACGTATTATTATTATTATTATTATTATTATTTTTATTAATGTTAACTATGATCTATTAAAATCCACTAACTTTATACAATATAAAGCCATCATATTGGACCACTTATTTTAAATTTGTGTAACCTGCTTTCATCTTCGTAATCACCTACATACAAAAAAAAAATCCTAAACACTACAAAAAACCCCCATCGAAATTTCTTTTTTTCTTTATATGTCGCAAGTTCGAGGATGTCTGCTTTCAATGGGCACCGAGCATATAGCCTTGAAAAAGGTGACAGTATGCGAAGATTTAAAAAAATCACCTTCTTATTAAAATAAATAAATGGTTTTCTCTGCAGATCCGGCTTATAAAAACTTTGGTGATTAGGTAATGCATTAATAACCGCTTCACATTTTATCTGCTCGCTCATTTCGCACTTTAATCAATGGCGAAATTGCAATTAAGTTACTTTAAATTTAACCTAATTTTGGGTGTTAATCTAAGCACTACTAATTTATTTGAGTAAATTTTCGAATTCGTTAAAACTTACACAGAGCTTTTAATTACCAATGCTATTTTGTGGTTTCAATGCACTCCCTTAGCGCTATCCACCCACAAGTCGTATATATAGTATATAACTAAATTCTCATTGCGTTCTTATCGAACTATGGCTCTCAATTACAGCTCGTGTGCCAATTATAATGCAAATGGGTCTCCTAAGTACAGCAGTGCTGAGTGCTGATGGATGGATGTTGATGTTGTTACTATTATTATTCCTGTTACTGCTGTTACAGATGGTAATGCTGATGATAATGGTGATGTTGGTGGCATTAGTTTAGATTTCATGACATAATTTTTTTTTTGCCGATATTCATTTGCTGTTGACGTTGTGTACTGTGAGATTGTATGAAAATACATCAATAGAAATTTGGTGTGTGTTTGACGCGTATACAAACGATTTAGGCTTGCGTATTTCTGAGGTGATAACAACAAAAGCTCTTATTAGGCGCCGCGAAGTAAGCGGGCATTGGCTAGTTTGCAATAAAAACTGAATGTTTATTTATACATACCTACATACATATGTACATATATATTGACATAAGTGTGTCAACACGGTCATTGCTTGCTATCAAATCAGCATTTTCATCAAAAATGGCAATGGCATCAACGTCCATCAGCCAGCGGCCAGCCCTTCCCCCCAAAAAATGGCAGTACAATGCCAACCCTTCTGCTACTCTCGAGTGCTACTGCCTAGCGACTTCTCTTCTAATGGCAGTAGGGATACGCATTTTATGACCAAATAAACTATGTTAATGGCAATTTGGGTGAAAGCAACACAAAATACTGCAACACACACACACACACGCATAAAGTTCAGTGCCAACCAGCTTAAGCTTTTTGCTGTCTGTGTCGCTTACGCCCTCTTGCCGCTGCCAGCCTTCATCGAAAAATCAGTCTTGCTAGTCGTTTGTCTGTTCATCGAGCTTCTCTCGTCCTGCCATTCTTGTATGTAAGTAACAAATATTTATTGCCATTTTGGGATTAGTTTTTGGGGTTTAATTGCGCTACCGGAATACCAGGCAACTTACATACATACATACACACTCCTAATGCGAAAACCACATTAGATGTAAGTACATGTGTATGTATGTAGGTTTGTAGCTGTATTCGTATTAACTGTTTATTTTCTCTTGTTACTACTGCCTTTACTTGTTGGCAACTTTAGTCTGTTATTGCATTTACCTACGCCTGCGCGTGCGTTCGTCTCTCCTTGCGCATTTGCCTGCGGCTGTGATTTCTTTGGACTTTGATTGTTTTGCCAAAGTAATTTAAACTTGTGTGCAATAAAAATAGTTGTAAAATTTTCGTTACTCAATGTCATACACGCCTGCATATTAATTTCTGTGAGGAAATGCTCTGCAGCGAAATTGGAGCAAGTGCCTGATAATTGTAGCACTCAGTTGTTTTCAAACTAGTTTGGCCTTGACCAGTTTTTGACCCATTGAAAGGAGATGATATTTGCATTAAAGATGCATAATACTGGCGAGGCTTAGCGTTGTCTTTAGTTATTTCAAAAACTTTTCCAAGAAATCGCTATTTAATAAAATCAAAAAAGTTTCTGGGGAAAAATCCGCCAAATGTACCAGGAAAAAAATGTTAGTCAACATTTTGTTCAAACTCCACCACGTTGTTGCTGTAGTTACTTGTAACCAACGAAGAAAATAATTTTGCTTCTACCGCGGTGTTTTGGCGAGCTATACGAGTTTAAACATGGAAATATCAGCATTTTTTCTTTAAGCCAGTTTCACCAGTCATTTAAATGGAAAATAATTTTTTATTTTCTGTAAATTTCCACCATATAAAATTCAGAAAATTAAGATCATTTTTCACTTAAATTGCTGTCGTGAAATTGGCAAGTTTTAGAGAATGAAAAATTGCTGAACTATTAGAAATTTTCGGTGTTTTTTAATGGAAACTATAATTTTTGCAAAAAAAATGCAACCAAAAAATTTTTGTTTTTTTAAAAAGATGTGCCTTTTTTGCAAATGGCTTATTTAAATTTTTGTGCACAAGGATATATATATTTATTTAAAAAAAAACTCTATGGTCACGGCTGACATACACAAGACAACATCCTCGAATTTCGTTCTTTTAACATTATAAGGTTAAAAAACGAATTAGAATGTCATTTTCAATCGCTGTTCATCCTTGTGAACCAAAATTTGTATTCTTTAATTTTTAAAATTTTTCCTTTCATTTGCTACGTTCTTACATAGTACAGATGCATATTGTAATTTTATGTAAATATATTGCACTGAATTTTTAAAATGATTTTTTGAATTAATCATATCTCTTAAATTTCAAAGTCTTTTGAGAAATCCTGACGTCAGTTCTACCTTTTGTCTACCTTAATAGTTTTCGTCCGTTTCTAAAAATGGTTCATTCCCTTATCTTTATTAGAAATGTATGCTGTATTACGGACTATTTATTGTTTTCCTAATTATGCCAATATATTATTATTAATACTTGAAAACTTTTTGTAAACAGCCATACCCATCCGGTGGATAAAACATCTCCCGAAACACCCGTCATATGTAAGTACACAGTTGTGCTTATGTTGTCGAAGAGAGCGTATGAGTAACCAAAACATTTTCTTACTGAAAATATCCCACGCGTGTC